ATGAGTCTTGCATCATTTTCGCAATAAGCATAAACACATTGGGCTGAATTTTCACATCCTGGGCCGGGGGAACTTGTTTCCTTCAAGTCCAGCCAGTGTGTGAGTTCTTGAAATTGGATCACGCAGAAAGTTTGAAGAGTGAACAAGTTTTGCTAGCTGAAAGTGAGAATCTCAGATCAGGATAATATTTTACTGACTCATAACTCAAAAGGAATTTAAGCAATTTGCTTCAAACACTACTGAAAGATTCTCCTCTGCTTTCTGAGTAAGTGCTGATCTTTCCAGGCCAAACCAATATTTCAAGCCAAAATTGTCAAATGCTCAAACAGAACGCCACTAGAGAAGCTAGTTGCTACCTCAAATCACACAATTACTTCTACTCTGTAATAATAAAATGTGCTACTCAAAACCAATACTTCTCCTACTCTGATAAGCAATGGACTGCTGGGTACCCACCAAGGTCGGCTCCAACCTGCTCCAAAGACAGCTGCTCTGAATGAAACATGCCATGGATGAGGAATCAGAAAAGCAATTATAAGCTCTTTGAACAGCAATAGCTTGGAACAAATACTAATTTGTACTTCTCTTCTGAGAAGTGAATATAAAATAGCATTTCTAGTGCCATTTGATGTAAATTGAGCCTTTTATGTGGAATCATTACAAGTATCAACAGCTACTTCTGCAAATTCCTCTGGGAAGCCAAGCGGGGGTCTCTCCTCACAACTTAAACACAGGTCCTCAGGGATGAATTGAGAGCTCAACCTTCTGCAGAGATAACAGCAGCATCTCTCCCAGACAAATGAACAGGACTCTGTCCTTCTACTGGACAACTGGGCATCAAATTTCTCCAGACCAGTCAGTGAAGCACATGCAGGAGCTGACTCTGGGTCTAAAAAGTATCTCTGCTTTCCGTAGCAGAGAGGCACTTGGAAACACAGGTCCTGGAACAGGATCTGCCTGTGCCAGGCACCTCTCCCTGCTGCCCCAAAAGCACGACAGAGGTGCACTGCTCCTGCTTGGTTGCTGCAGTGCCATGGCATGTTCTCAGATAGTCTGGAGAACTGTCAGCTGCAATGAATGCCTAACAAAGTCATCCAATGTATTGAAATTGCCTGGAAGATTAATGTAAGGATTGTCGCCGCCTTTGTGCTTGTTTTCCTCATCTGTGGGAGTGCTTATTCGTGCTGGAGACAGACAAATAAATAAATAAAGCACGAGAGGAGGGAGGGAGGGAGGAAAAAAAAAAAGGAACTCCAAACTAGCCAATTAACCTTTGAAATACAAGTGGTGCTGCTGCTAACTAAGAGCATCCTGTAACCTCCTAATTACCAGCCATGTACAAGTGGCAGTTGGAGACAGAGCTGGCCGTTAACCCCGCGGATGCGCTGTGCAGGAGGATCCGAGTGCTGCTAATGACTGAAGTCCCAAGGAAACTCGCTTCCCGTCATCAGCTGCCTCCTGCTACCCGGATCTCCTGCCACAAACCGGCTGTGCTGCCATGAAATCTTCAATCTGCCTCCGAGACGAGCGGGATGGCTAAAGGACAGCCTGTGCAAAGCGGTCCCAGCATCTCCTCGTCTTTCCCGTGAGTCAGCTAGCTGCTACTGCAGTCCTGCCCTCAGCCGCAGGACAGGATCCGTGCCTGAAAGGGCAGGACGTGGGCTACGTGCATTAAATGGGGTGGTGCCAGCTATGTCAGCCAAGAGGAGCCAGAGGAACTGTGAGCAGACTGCCGTGAACTTCAAATTCCCATAAAAACACATACTGAAGCCTTGAGGGGATTTGGATATGGTCAGGTCTCTCATTCATCTGGATGTAGCATGCGGGACTGCGGCACTACAGACCCAGATCACCTTCCTGACCTGTCGAAGGGCACTACCAACATGCTGCTATGGCACGCGTGCCCCCCGACCCTGCAGCTACCCTAAGGGCCAGCAGTAAAACCCACTGGGTTTTGCCTCCAGCCTGGCACCTTGGAACCTCGATTTCCTCATCCAGAAGATCTGGACAATAATGCTCCCTTGCCTCAAGAGGGCTCCGTGAGACTTCTTCGCAGAGCGTTGCCATGTCCCGGGATGAAAGGCGAGATAACGCACCAAGGACTAGCACTGCTCTATCTTCCATGCCATATGTTGTTCAGTACCCTCCACCCCTCCCACACACACAGAGGATTGATGCCTTGGCTTTGAATAGCACTCCGGAACAAAAATGTATACGGTGTGCCCATCTATTTGCAAAGCCACTGATGACTATGAAGTCTGAGAAGCCGGAAAAGAAAAGCAAGCAGCCATTAATAATTTTTTATAAAAGAGATTAGGCATTTCCTTACAGACGGTGAGGTCTGAGGAGAGCTTTCCTGCGGCTGCTGCATTGATTGCAGACCAGTTTGATAAAACCAGTCGATGGCTGAAAACAAGTGGCAACAGTTGAGACCAGGGAATCTGCTTAAGCTGTTCCACCCAGCGCAAATGTCTCCACGGTAGGTGATGTTTCGCAGGGCTTCATGGCCCAGGAGCCCCCTGCCCATGCTGCTGTCAGCAGGCATGGAGCACAGGAGGTGTCCCCAAAGGGAGCCCCTGAACTCTGCTCTCTGGGTAACACTGAGCAGCTCGGGGGAGCAAGGAAAGCAGAAGAGAGCCACAGAGTAGCTATCCTTGTAGGCAGCTCCTAAATCCTCATGGCTTGGGGAATGGCCTCCGAGTTTGCCCTTGGAAGGATGCAGAAGGAGATGATGGCAACACTTGTGCCTGGTTAAGGCTCACACCTTCTCACCTTGTAATACTTGCTCTGAGCAGAGGTGCAGAGTGACTGGGCAGCACTCAGTAACCAGAAAGCTGCGATTAAACGATTTTTCCTGGCAAGGATCATGGCATACCCAAAACGAGCCATTCTCACCTCCCATCTGTCCCAACACCGTGCTGTGGGATCATAGCAGCTTCCCTCAGGCATCTGCTCCTATCTGTAGACAAAGCCAGCCCCCTGCCCCAGGTCTTGCAGCCGATTCTCACACGAGGAGGGCTGCGGGTTCCAAAATCACCCTGCTTTGCTCGCAGAAGCCCCAGGCTTTCACGCCCAACAGCCTGGGAACCTAGAGCCATTTTCTATTGCTTTCGGAGAGTGCCTTTGGCGATGCCCTGGAAGTCACTCTGTTGACAGGAGAGTGCTTGGGCGAGGTGTTTTGAAGCTGGGCTCTGACAGCTCCACAGCTCATCATCCCCACTGCGTACCAGAAACACTTTGCAGTCAGGCACGCGGAGGAACTTTTACAGGTTTCACTTCAAAATTCCTCCCTTTTTATTGGGCCCACACCGGGCAGTGCCTGTGAGTAAAGCTGGCGGGAGTCTGATGCTCTGTAGCCAAAAGCTTCAGAACCTTTATTGCCATTGACTTTGAGATGGTTTAAAGCAAATCTTTTACAAGGTAAAATCCAATATAAACCTGCCGGCTACAGTTTTCCTTTGTGTGAGGCAAGGATGTAATTATCACAATTTACCTTTATACGAGCGATTCTGGACAGATTCCATGCGATCCCCGGGCTTTCTCACTGCAGTCTGCCTAAGGTTTTCCCCCAGCACCCTGTCATGGCAGTATCCAAGGACTGACAAAGCTGTATCTGCCTGACAAAAGAGTATCCATGCAGAAAGGCAGCTGCCGAGAGAAATAAATGGTCTATTCAAAGGCGACTGACAAGGTGTATTTCCTAATTTTAAAACTTGTGGAACAACTAACCAAACAGAAAGCTGACAGTGACAGCTATTTCTTTGTTGGGTTTGGACTCTCTCTGCTGTTAAGTGTGAACTAATTTATTGTTGCACAGCTGAGGTTCATGTGTTTTAGCTGAGTATTTGCTTTTCTGAAAGAAAACATGTCTCAGTGGAGAGAAAACGAAGTAACAGCACTCTGGAGGATTGTTTGCCATGGTCCCAAGCAGGACTTAATCCTGGGAAATGGTGGAGAAGAAAATGCAGAGCCTCTTGTCCTGCCTTTGGATGTACTACGCTACTGTCTCCTTTACTCCTCACTCCTGAGCAGGCAGATCAAGGCAGAGAGAAACAACAGCTTTATAAATAACCTTGACCTGGTCCTGTTCCGCAGTGGAGATTTTGGGGGAGCACTGGATGAACCTTTGACTATTCACCTCACAGAACATCAGTACAAGCATCTCTTGGCCTCACTGGGATGCATTGTCTGCACCTGATACAGAGGTGGCATGAGAACTTCCAGGGCACGTCTTGAGGTAACAGTTGAAAGTAACCAGTTTCTGAGAAAGAAAAGCCCAGAAAAGCATAGCTTTCCTCAGAGTGACCCACTGGAGATACTCAGATGACTCACCTCCTTCTCCCTTTGCACAGACCCTCAAGTTCCCATCAGTCAACAAGGACAAGTCGTCCTCAGCTGCCAGCTCTGCTTTCTGCTGTCACCATGTTCAGACTAATACTGGGAACAGCATAATTTCTCCTTCCTCCCTCCAAACACTTGGAAGAAAGACCTATCTACACCCTATGAGATCAAATTAAAGGTTTTGGAGCCTTCAGGGAGAAACTAGCTTTTTTTTTTTTTTTTCTTTGTGGCTTTTAGCATCGCCTGATAGTTTAAGTCTTTACTTAAGGGTCCAAGATGAAAGAAGAAACGTCTGTGGGCGTTACTTGCACTACAAGGTCCACTGTGCACCACCACCATCAGAGCAAAGGAGTATTTCCACCAGAACAATTCACGCTTATAGGAATAAATCACAGCCAACAACTTGAGCAGCCAGGCTCTGAGCCGCCGTGTCCCAACACACACATTCCACCCCCGCACCTCCGCAGCGCTGCCAGCCACCTTCCAGGCTTTTCGCACACAGAAGGACGCTCCTGCTTATCACGCGCCTGCAGGATCAGGCCCTTGGCCCTGTTTGGTGTTTCCACCTCGCCCGAAAATCACTCGCTCTGGTGTGGCTTCTATGGAGTCATGCCAAGCCGCCTTTTTCCGCGCGCACCCGAAGCCAGTCCCGCACTCACCTGCTCGTGGTACTCAATGCCCATGCTCAGCGTGTTGATGAGAATGGCTATCATAATCCCCCGGTTGAAGTACTTGCTCTCCACGATCCTCTTCAGCTTGCTGCCGAACGCCTTCCACAGGCGGGCGACCTTGTTCCTCTCCTTGGCTTTTCTCTTCTTCCTCCTCCTCCTGCCCCGCTGCTGCTGGAGCTGGTCCCTGCGGTCGCCGTGCCGCAGGTCCTGGGTGAACTCGTAGACGCCGTTGCCGTCGGAGTCGCCGCTGTCGGAGTCGCTGACG